CATGATTCTTAGTTTAGAACATACTCATCATAAAACCGATCATCCTAAGAGTAAGTCTTCTATTAAAGAGATTTCATTCGACAATTTTACCCCCTATAGAACATTCCAAATGAGTAATATTCTGTTTTCCTCGAATTGTTGGACCATTAATCCTAGAAAGTATATTCCCTTTCACCTCTAACTCATTGTCTCCCTTCTTTAGCAAAATAAAAAAGAAAAAAATCATTTTCCCCTCTTCAAGGCTCTAAAAATTGACCGAGTCTTTACTTGAAGAAAAGAAAAGTAAATGAGGAATAAAAAAAGTACGGTGAAAGAGTGAGCATTTTAACTATATTGCTACTTTTTACCTGCTTTTCAACTCATGATAGTTTCAATCGTCACAATATAAAACATACCAAAATCCATAGTATGATACTTCTCGAGATCTTTTACATGATATCCAATAATAAGAAAAAAAATCCTTGTTGATCTTATGACGCACACATGAAAACAATCAAATAAATCGAGCCATACGGGCATATTAGGAGATTCACCTAGCTTTATATCACTCATTTCTTACACCTCTTTTGTTACAAACAATAAATTTGTTCTTCAAAATGCGATTAATCAATTTTAACCCGACTTATCATGAATTTAGCTGAAAATTTTATTCTACTTCCATTTAATTGGATAAAGAATCTTTGTGGTGATATTCTCAAGGTGGGCACTCCAACAAAAATGGGGACAAGCACTCGCGACGCCATTATTTCAAACCTTGGTCGTCTCTAAATTTTTCTCAGCAGCTTCCTTTTACAGACTAGATATCAATCAACTTTTTAGATTTGAAAATTTGAAACAAAAGGCTCAATGACAAAATACCAGTTCAAAATAAATTCATTTTACATGGAATTGTACCATGTGGCGCCGGCGTGGAATAGATAAAAGATAAATAACCATAGGCATTTTGTTTATCTCTACCTCACATTTCCAACTTCATTGAGAATATGGCAATTTTAAACAAAATTAGAATATAAAATCACATCCACAATTACAAGCTCGGTTCTCTCTTGACGTCTTTCACACGTTTCTAATTCTGTTTCAACTCAATCATTATCTTTTAAGTTTATCGAATTCCCATTTTCAATAACCAAATAAGAAACCGAACGTATGCTTTATATTTTTAATTGAACGCAATATACTTGTACACATATTCTTATAGCCCAATTGAAAAATCAACGCACACGTTACTTGTGAGTGGATCAAGCCAACAGGTTTGACTTGAATAGGGTGAGGTCCAAAAGAAGATAAGGCAAGGACTAAAAGCATCTGCAACTGCTCCTAATCAATCAATAACTAATTAATTAAAGATTTCATATTCATTTTTTTCTTGCATGGTAACAGATTCATGTTCATACTTGCTCGTAGAGATTAGTTCATCGATCCTTTTATGCAGCAGAATAGCATCTTTCGTTCCAACTTCATTCCCTTTTTTCACTTTCAATTCGTGTTCATGAAGGTTTCTATGTGTCATGAATTCATAATTCAAAAGCCATTTGGACGATACCTCTAAAAGTAAGCCCAGGCACTTCATTCCCTTCTTTTCTATGTTTTTTTACCCTAAATCATCTTTTATTTTTTTGAATATTTCGCATACTTCTATTTTCATTGGTTTATTGACTTTTCAAGAGCTGAATGATATGTCACCAAATTTGTAATAAAAAAATGGCCCGGAAAAGAACTCAAGGACAGTGTACAAGTATTTCATATATCATTAGTAACTTAATACTAACGCTTTATGCTCATTTGTGTCATTTAACAAATTATAGTTCTATTTTACAAACAATTTATCAATAGATAATTTAAATGTGAAAGTTTGAAGTGAATAGCTGTTACATGGTATCATAAATTTGTCCTACATAAAATTATTGGCATGTGGGGCCAACACGAAATAAATAAGAGAGAAATGACAAAGACCATTTGTTAATCTCTTCCTCACATTTCCAATTTCATTAAGAATATGACAATTTTAAATAAAATTAAAATATTAAATCACCGAATTTGAACCAAAACATAAAAGAAGTGAAGCAACCGACCCGAAACAAATAGAGAAGCAACATTCACACAAAAAGAGAAAAGAACATAGAAGAGAGAGAGAGAGAGAGAGGAAGCAAGAACCAAAAAAAATCAAGTGAACCGTGAAAATTCAGAGACTTTGGACATTCTTTTTTTTCATTGTTTTTGTGAGCAAACATGTTACTAAAGATACAACTGGCAATTCATGTCGTGTCAGATTAATTGTGTCATGTCGAGTTAGGATATAACACAAATATGGCAAAACCCAAACAAGACGTGTTTAGTAAATGCGTTGAACTACTATAATACGAACACGACACTTTAATAAAGTAGGTCAGATGACACGACACGACAAATGCGATTATTAAACGTGTCACCATATGAAATGTCAACACGACACCATGCAGTATGCTAACCTTTGTACATGCAAAAAGATGCAACACATTGCATTACATCTAAAACAAAGAGCAAAATTGCTTCCTGTGATATTCTAATTACAAGTGAGACGCAGCCTTTTGTAGTAACATTAATCCTATTTAAGAGCCATAAAATTTTATCACACAAAAAGCCCCATATTTCGAACATTCTAAAGCCATAAATTTAAAAGCATATTTTCGTCTTAACTTTCCCCCTTAGATCGCCATGGGTAATGGGCAGAGTTAAGGAAATAGAAAGAGAGCAGAGGAAGAGAGCACTGAGGGAGCATCCATTCCTTCGTTCATCTCTCCAGTACCCACAAATGTAGGTAGTCGTCAATATGACATGTTCTTCAGCTTTAGAGGCACCGATACCCGCAAGGCATTCACTGATCACCTCTATCACAGTCTGATCAAGACAGGGATTGTACTGGTTTTTAAACCCCAAACTGGTACGCCCATAAAAAATTTACCTCAAATTATTTTTTTGACTGCCAAAAACCCTACACCCCAAACTAATTTTTTGACCATAAAAAGCCTTAAACTAGTACACCTGTAACAAATTTACCCTCCGTTAGCTTCCATCAAATTTTATCGTTAAATTTACTGATGTGAATGAACATGGTGACGTGGTATGGTGACGTGGCAAGTCTACGTGAAAATCCATAGGGTTAATATGAGGGAAAACCCCAAACTATTACAGTCAATTTGTCATAGGTATACAAGTTTGTGATTTTTCTTGGTATTTACACTATGAATTTTCATGTGGACTTGCCACGTCACCTTATCACGTCACCATGTGTCATTTAGGTCAGTAAATTTAACGGTAAAATTTGACGGAAGCTAACGAATGGTAAATTTGTTATAGATGTACTAGTTTGGGATTTGGGGTAAATTTATCACAGTTGTACCAGTTTGGGGTTTTTCGTGGTAAAAAAATAGTTTGGAGTAAATTTGTCACAGATGTCCTAGTTTTGGATTTTTCGCAGCAGCAACTCTTGCTGCAAAACAGAGCTCCTAAATTTGGAAAACTATTATGCTAAAAGTTTCTAACAATAATTCCATAAACTTTGGAATGTAAAGAAACTAGAAAATTTTTGGCGGGGCCAAGACTTATTAATGATATGAAATTTTTTGTAAATACAGAAAAGCATCAGCAATGGGGTCCGGGAAAGGGCCATGGATTGCTACCATTCTTACTTCTTAGGGTAGAGCTAACAGTCATCGAGAGACCACGACTTAGCGAACACGCCTAGAGAGAGAGGTAGTTTTCCTTTTCGTCTCCTCTTTCTAATTTCTAAACGAAAATTTCTTATATAAAGATCTACAAATTTAACTGTCGTGTTTACTAGTTTTTTTTTCCTTTTTGATTGATTACGGATATTTCGTACAAGATTACATGACTGTTAGGCTCCATTTATTTCGCGAAAAATGAATAATTTGAAAAACGTTTCCTCAAGGTAATATTTTGTATCACTTGAAATAATTAGCCGATAAAAAATATTTTCATTATTGACAATATATAATATCTAAACATTTTCGCGGATGATAAATTTTTTTTTGTTCATTCATTTTTATAATAGATATAGGCAATCATATTTAGGAAAATATTTTCTAAATCATATCATTTCCACGAAACATACGAAGCCTTAGTAATCGGCGCTCGATGAAGGCAGGAGTAAAGTATATGCATGTGCTTTCAAATAGATACTTACATTGAGCCACCGATCAAAGGCAATGATTGAACCAAATATGGAAAAACTCTTAGACAATTCGTGTGCACGTGAGCTCATTGCATTTGAGCCCACGATATTGGTGGTGCCACAAGAAACCACACGATCTAAGGGTCGGCATGCATTGGGCACACACGCACTCAAGAATGTCTCATAATATATGGTCACCACACATTTTAACTTTTGTCAATTCTACATGTGAGCGATTTATATAACTTCCAAAACAACAATCAAAGACATAACTGTTAGAAATTTCCTTCAACGAGGAAAGTGCATGCACCTAGAGGGTGAGGTCCAGGCAATAAACAGGTGGGTGACATTAGTTTGGCTAATGAAAATGGGATCAGACAGACTGTTGGAGAAAATTAGGTTTGTTTATATATTAGGCTAAAATGAGTTAAGAGCAAGGTCGAAAGAACATGATAAGGATTCCGTAACGTGAGTTTTTTGTTCAAAGAGGAAGATGCTTCTTCCATGGAGTTCCCTACATAATTTGAAGACTCTTGAATGGATTCAATATCTTAGGTGTGAACTAAAAGAATTTTCTAAATATCTTAAAATGTGCACGGAGTTATCTAGTTGTTCAAACATGCGTGTCAAGGAAGTCATTACGCGTTAGGAGCATTCTGAACAAGTAAATGATGTGGGCTTTTTGGGGGCCCTCTGTAGGGCCTCATCCACCAATCTTCTGCAATGAAACGACGTCAGTAAACTTAACTAAAGTGAAGGCCATGTGACCGTGTCCCTGTTACCCCTCTCTCTATCTCTCTCTCTCAAAAAGAGCACGAACCTTCTTCAGCATTTCCAAGGGGAGAATTTAATGTACACATTATTGGCGTGTGGACCAAGCCAACAAGTTTGACTTGACTAGAGGGTGAGGTCCATAAGAAGATAAGGCAAGGACTACAAGCATTTGCAGAAAAGCATCCTGAAAGCATATTTCACTGTTCATCAATCACTTTGAGCAGCAGTAGAAAAGCATCTTTTCGTTTCAACTTTCCCCCCTCAGATCGCCATGGACAAAGAGCAGAGTCAGGGAAAGAGAAAGAGAGCAGAGGAAGAGAGCATTGAGGGAGCATCGACTTCTTCGTTCATCTCTTCGGTACCCATAGATGTAGGTAGGGGTCAATATGACGTGTTCTTGAGTTTTAGAGGTTCTGATACCCGCACGGCATTCACCGATCACCTCTATCACAGTCTAATCAAGGCAGGGATACCGGTTTGCGTGTTCAAGGACGATAACAGCATCCCAATTGGCGAGGAATTTGGTTCACAGATTCTTGATGCCATTACACGGTCTAAGATTTTGATCCCCATCATCTCGGAAAATTATGCTTCGAGCAAATGGTGCCTCCGCGAGCTCATTCATATCATGGACTGCAAGAAGAGCACGTCACACATAGTCTTGCCCATCTTTTACAAAGTGGACCCATCGGATGTGCGGTATTTAAAAGGAAGTTTTGGGGAGGCCTTCCATTCGCGTAAGAAGCATTTTGATGAGAAGGATATTCAGGAAGGGCAGCGAGCACTTAGAGAAGTGAGTGACTTACATGGATGGGAATCCAAGAAAGTTGCTAACGGGTACTTCACAAAACCTTTTTCTTTTTTTGATAAGTAAGTTTTCTTCTTCACGCATAACCGATGAAATGCAGATGTATTACTTTCACTGCAAGCTCAGAAAGGATCCTCAAAATGTCCCAATAATGCCTCGAAGACTAACAAACACTAGTACTTCCCAAGATGTCCTGAAAACTAAACCAACGACAACTTAAACCAAAGATCCCGTAGCGCCCAAGAATTTTACATTTGTATCCGTTCCAGAGCAAAAAAAAGAAAGAAACAACAACCCCTCCAGCCAATAGTATCAATCACTAAATAACATGCCTAGAAAGGACTCCAATGCTCGGTCTTCCAAAACTTGATCACTACCAGATAAAATAGACTTCCTCATGCTAACGGGTTGGCTCAGCTGATAAGAATTGGACACTTCACATTTACTATGTTTAGGTTTGATTTCCAATGCCAGCAACCCCCATTGGTAAGTGATCTTGGGGTAACCTCCTCTCTTTCTAAAATTTTTAGACCCCCCGCCGCGCCCCCCCAAAAAAATAAAAATAAAAATTGACCTCCTAACTTTCTACTGGCGACAACCTTTATCCTTATAAGGAACATTATAGTTCGAAAGACTCTTGATGAGCCAGGTGCACCACCTTATTTTATTTCAACAAGATCCATCTATTGGCATAAAAGGATTGGGAAAACAAATGAAATGACCGCTACACCATCTTCCCCCATTGTTAATTGTAAAACCAAAACGGCTTGGAAGTTAATTGGCCCAATGCATCCTTCATTATATACCAGTCTTTTGATGAGATTAAGTATATTCACGAAGTTATCATTGAGATTTGTTGTTTGACAGGCGTGAAGGAGAATTAGTGGAAAAAGTTGTCGAAACAATTCTGAGCGAGTTGCGACAAGATTTTCAGCTTGATGTTACTAAGCACTTAGTTGGAATTGAGGATCGTGTGAACGAAATCAGGAAATGGGTGGACACTCCTGCTAGTGTTGCTCGAATGATTGGAATCTATGGCATGGGTGGGATTGGAAAAACGACTCTTGCCAAGGAAATCTACAATCAGTTGTCGAATGACTTTGCACATCGTAGCTTCCTTGCTGATATTCGAGAAACAATTCACCGCAAAAAAATTCCTTATCTACAAAAAAAACTAATTGAGGACATATTGCGAATTGAACATCAAGTTGGGAATGTTGATGAAGGAATTAGTTTGATCAAATCTAGATTCAAAGGAAAAAAGGTTCTCATTCTTCTCGATGATATAGATGACAAGAATCAACTACATGCACTGGCTAGGGAACAAAATTGGTTTATGGCAGGTAGTATGATCATTGTTACAACTAGAAATGCAGGCGTTCTTGATCAATCTGAATTCGAGGGAGTCTACAAGTACGAATTGAATGAATTGGATCAGAAGCATGCTTTGCTACTGTTTAAGAGACACGCATTTCGTACAGACCATTCTTCGAGGGACTTTGAGCGTATATCTCATGATATCATATCCACCATGGGTGGGCTTCCCTTGGCACTTGAGGTCGTAGGTTCATCCTTGTATAAAAAAACGAATCAAAAAGTATGGGAAGATGTGTTGAAGAAATTAAAAAGCGAACCACATAGACATGTCCAAAAGATATTGCGAATAAGTTATGATGCATTAGAAGATGGACATAAGCAGATTTTTCTTGATATTGCTTGTTACTTAATTGGCAAAAATAGCATATTCGCCACGTACATGTGGGAGGACGATGGGCTTTATCCAAGTGAAGGAATTGAAGAGTTGAAGTCGAGGTGCTTAATTAAAATTGGACATCATGGTGAATTTGTGATACATGATCAACTGAGAGATCTTGGAAGGAGCATTTTTTGCGAAGAACAATTGCTTGACAAACATAGCGGACCATGGGACAACAACTACAAGGGAACCACAAAAATACTAAGCAATCAAGGGGTAAAATATGGCACTCCTTCTTTTTCTCTCCCTCTTATTTTAATATATTTAATATGATCTATTCTAATATTTCATCTAGCATCTTCCTTTCTAGGAAAAATATTTTTGTAAACATCCATTTATGTCCATCATAGATTAATTGTGACAACTAAATAAATATAAGTACCTGAAGGATGAAAGAGTTAAATCATTTGATTCAATTTCATTGATATAAATTACATCCGTAAAAATTTAATTTACAATCAATTTAATATCCTTTAACTACAAAATATACACTATAAATCTCATTTACTAAAAGCATGCAATTGTCATATCTAGTTGAAAATATTGATAATCAGAAGGACTACAATAATGAATGAAGATGAAGTATAAACATCATAGATCATATAAATGAAGATTTCCTGGTTGAAAGGAAAAAAAAAGATGGTATGTGCCAATTATATTAACTGATAATTAATTCAAAGCAATAAGTTTGGAAAGAATTTCACTCTTATCACATATACTTGCTTTTTAGTACGGCCGAATGTATTGGTGGTGCTTCTATGATTTAGGAATCCAATGTTTGATATTTTTTTTCTCCATTTTGATTTTGAAGATACCCATCCCTCTACTCTACTAGTTATATCTATATCTTTTCATTCTTATTTCATCTTAATAAACAATATAGCAAAAATCCCCTTAAAAATATTTTTAGGAAAATCTTACTATTTTTTAAGGTTTTATCACATTAACCATGCTCATTTCTTATAACAAACATTTCTATATGCCATAAGTTGTTTTATATTATTTATATTTTTTGGGACAATGCCTTTTTTGTGCCAAAAACTGCTAGACTAACTTGACTATTTACAAAAAAAATAAAATTTGACTAATGAGAGGAAATGTTGTGCTTATTATTATATCCATATCTTTGTGTCCATTATATATGATTTTCAGCATGAAGCCAATTTTTTCAACTATGTTTCTCTTTTACTTATATTATCAATGTGATTTTATTATTATATATTGTCCATCTAGATGCCTCATAGGCTCATGACTGATCAATGGCCAGGAATTAACCTTAGCAATTAACCAAGAGATGTTGGGCAAAGGAAACAATTTATAGTCTTGATATAATTTGAAATAGTTCGTTGCTATGATTTAAATCACACTCTTTTGTTGATCCAATAACTTTTTAGCATTAGCAAAAAGAGCACACCATACAGGTGTTTGAAAAATGAAAAAAAGTCAAATATGTTTTGAACAGATAGAAACGTTGAAAGATGATAATTAGTATAGAAAAAAATATTAAATGATTGTACGACACGAGAGATTTTGATTTAACTTTAGAAAATGAAATACTTATGGGACTAAATTTCAATTGTCTCGACTATTTTAAATATGATTTTATTTATTTTGTTATATCCTATTTCTTTAGTTCATTTTGGTGAAATATATGCGAATTGCATGAAAGCTTTTGACGAGGTTTGAAATCCCCTTTCTGTATAGTAGATTTTTTAATGTATTACACAATATAGATGATTTACAAGTGAAAATTAAGAAAGATAGCGTGAAATTATGATTACAACAATTTGGTGACTCTTTTTACTAACAAACTTAAGAGAAATTATACCTATCGTAGGTTTTTCAGCTGTTAATATATAAAGTAGAGATAACGAGAGATGAGTCAAACCGTAAAAGTGGATCAAACCAACCAAAAAAGAAATTCTAACCAAGTAAAGCCTTATGGGATTTTTTTTTCACCATTTTTAACTCATCAAATGATCTGTTTTAGCAGGACATTAATGTTTTGACTTATAAAAGCAACTTTTTTTTTCAATCCCTGTCAAAGTGCACGCGCTACAAATTTTGAAAAAAAGAGAGCCAAAGATAAAACATCAAGGTGCATTTGCGTTAGTTGTTTTAAGGCAAGAACTATTTTTTTTATTTATTTTCATGTCATCTGTTCAAATTTCTAAAGGCCGTAAAAAAAAAATTAAACGTGATTTCAGAAATCCATATTTATATACGGGAAGGATAGAAAGATAACAAATCGAGCGAATCCAAGATTTAAAAAAAAGCAAAAAAGTAAAAAAGTAAAAAAAAGTCAACTGAGAGACTCCATGGATTGATTTGATATGTAACTGGGAATTGAAAAGGATTCCGTCATTTTCTTTGTCCCGTCCAATTCCTTCGCCCATATCCAGACGCACTCAGATGAACAATTTTAAAACTTGCAGGGACGCTGCTGGTTCCATGACTTGATGGGGGCAGCTTCAAGCGGAGGCTCTTCTAATAAACTCCTTTCTGAAGTAAGATGGCTTCAGTTGGTGGTCAGGGGAAGAGAATCGCCTCTTCTGACGACCAATTTGCATCTACCGAACTTATCGGTGCTGGATTTATCAGGGAGCTGGGGCATCACAGAGGATTGGGAAGGATGGAGGAGTTCATTCATGGTAAGATTGGGGGGAAAAAAAGAGACATCCTCTCCTCTCTCTCCGTGATTTAAGATGGGGTTTTGTTTTTGTTTAGCCGATCCCCCACTCTCATTCTTTTGACAGCTTTATTCTCCCTCTTTTTTGTGTAGACGGCAAAGCGGCTACAAGTTCTCGACCTTGGATGGTGCCATGGTTTAAGATGTACTCCTGATCTCTCGGTTTTCACGCAGTTGAAGATCCTCACCTTGAGAGGTTGTTCCAAACTGGAGCATCTCCACCCTTCTATTGGCAAACTCAAGAGCCTCGTTTCCTTGGACTTGAGGAGATGTTATAGTCTCGAGGAGCTACCAGAGGAAGTGGGCGAATTAAAAGATTTAGAAGTACTTGTATTAGATGCTACTGGTATTACAGAGATCCCTAGCTCAATTGTTGATCTTTCTTCTCTCCAGCGCCTTGAGCTGCGTCGCTGTGACAAGCTTCGGTCGCTGCCACGGCTTTCTAGCCTAATCCACCTAGAAAAACTCCGTCTTTGGGAATGCCATCTACTTGAAGACATCCCCGAGCTTCCCTCGAGACTCTTGAAACTCTATATTAAGAAGTGTGGTAAACTGGTATTGCTTAAGCTCGACAGATTGAAGAACTTGGAAATGTTTTCGATAAAAAGGTGCAGTTCAATTGAAAGACTGGACCTTTCACAATTAATTCGTCTGAAACGATTATGTGCTGATCACTGCGATAACCTAGTTGAAATTCAGGGCCTTGAAAATTTGGAGCTCTTGGAGGGCATATCTATAAATGATTGCAATTCCATTGAAAGGCTTCTCTGTCCAGAATCAACGTGTTTGAAGAAATTAGTGGCTGCCTGGTGCGACAATCTAGTCGAAATTCGAGGTCTTGATGGTGCGAAGTTCTTAGAAGCGTTGAATGTTATAGGATGCAAATCAATGGAGACTTTGCCAGATTTGAATGGATGTGAGAGGTTACAATATCTAGTAGTTCAAGATTGCGAGAAACTTACTCAGCTTTGGGGACTTGAAAAGTTGGATTTAATTGATTTGGATATCTCTGATTGCGACTCATTGGAAGCGATCGACTCATGGAGGGATGTTTCCTCAGCAGAGGTAAATTAGCAGTGAACAATCATTTTTCTTCTGAGATTCATGACCTATTTTTCATCACTATCTTCTTTTGACAATAAGGTTTTCCATCACAGGGTTCTGATTATGAACCATTGTAAATTGCTAGTCTTACATAATTGAAGGAGTGGGGGAGTTGGTCATAGAAGCTGACATGATGCTTCAGCCAAGATCAAAATGTAGACCCAAATGACAATAAAAGGCATTGGTCATCTAGTAGGATTCTTCATCCTTGAACGGCCAGCATGAGCGAATAGAGTAATACTTTTCTCGAAGCTCTATTTTTTAAGAATGATTTGCTCCACACCGGGTTTCTATTTGATTGATTTTGGAAACTCCATATTTACCTACATATATTGCTGTTGGTTACGTTATAGCAATGCATTTCATTTATCCTTCCATTGGCAGCTTTTGTAGACTGCAAACAGATTAGCGGCTTGTGAGGCAAGGATGAAAATATCAAACATAGGTAAACAAGAATTCCCTAGTGATTCCCAGTTTCCCTCTCTGTAAACCTGGGATTTGAAATTTTCACCTAGAGGGTAATGATCTTCTGCTACTCAATATTGTAAACTACGCCCAGATTTTCCCTATCCAAAATTCATATTTTCTTTGAAAATATCCTTGGCCATTTTGAGTTCCTTTGTGAGTTGTCTTGTGTCAAATTTGACTAATGGCATATGTCCTGTTTGGGACAAACGCCTTTCGGTTTTTCGTGATGAACGAAAACCCTGTCAAGTTTCTTAATATTCCCTTTATGTTGCTCTTGAACCTTCTAAGAAGGGCATCAATTCCCAGTAAGTATGATGAACTGAGCTAAAATAAAATATAAGGATCAAGTGTTTCTGGTTGGTGATAAAAAAAAATGTTAAAGTAGTTTTGGCTAATCTATCATACATGAATGTACACCCCCTTAACATTACCAGTAATCAAACTGTTGTTTTGAAATATTATCAAGCGAGGTAAACTGGTGCTTGCTTCTGTGACAGGTTTGGTTGGTCTATGTAACAATCAAGGCTTACTTTGGGACTTCAATTCAATCAGCTATATTGATTATCTTTTGCATAATTGGACAATTTTTTGCCCATCTGTGAAACAAGCTAGTGCGAGGAGCTCAAGAATTTGCTAATTAGTTTACATCCCATTTGATCCTATTGTTGTCATGGAATTGTTTTATCACATGACTGATTTGGGTGTGGCTCACTTGGCTGAGAAACTTCAAATTCCAGATTTGAGACCGATCACATTGAAGAAAAGGGATTTTGCAGAGGAAGCATCAGCAACGGTTGAGGACCATCTTGCGTGCCAACAGTGAGACAAGTCATGTTTTTTTGACAGAGGTAAATAAGCAATAAACTATCATTTTTCTTCTAATATTCATGTCCTACTTTTCATTGCTATCTTCTTTTGACAAGATGGTTTTCCATGACAGGGTTCTGCACTTTCCTGAATTGCTAGTCTTACATAATTGAAGGAGCAGGGTAGTTGGTCGTGGAAGCTGACATGATGCTTCAACCAAGATCAAAATGTAGACCCAAATGTCAATAGAAGGCATTGGTCATCTAGTAAGATTCTTCATCCTTGAACGGCCAGCGTGAGGGAATAGAGTAAATACCTTTCTCGAAGCTCTGTTTTTTAAGAATGATTTGCTCCACACTGGGTATCTGTGAAACAAGCTAGTGCGAGGAGCTCAAGAATTTGCTAATTAGTTTACATCCCATTTGATCCTATTGTTGTCATGGAATTGTTTTTATCACATGACTGATTTGGGTGTGGCTCACTTGGCTGAGAAACTTCAAATTCCAGATTTGAGACCGATCACATTGAAGAAAAGGGATTTTGCAGAGGAAGCATCAGCAACGGCTGAGGACCATCTTGCAAGCCAACAGTGAGACAAGTCATGTTTTTTTGACAGAGGTAAATAAGCAGTAAACTATCATTTTTCTTCTAATATTCATGTCCTACTTTTCATTGCTTTCTTCTTTTGACAAGATGGTTTTCCATGACAGGGTTCTGCACTTTCCTGAATTGCTAGTCTTACATAATTGAAGGAGCAGGGTAGTTGGTTGTGGAAGCTGACGTGATGCTTCAACCAAGATCAAAATGTAGACCCAAATGTCAATAGAAGGCATTGGTCATCTAGTAAGATTCTTCATCCTTGAACGGCCAGCGTGAGGGAATAGAGTAAATACCTTTCTCGAAGCTCTATTTTTTAAGAATGATTTGCTCCACACTGGTTATCTATTTGATTGATTTTGGGGACAAACAACTTTAAATTTTCTGTGATGAACAAAAACCCTGTCAAGTTTCTTATTGTTCCGTTGATGTTACCCTTAAACCTTCTAAGAAGGGCATCAATTCCCAGTAACTTTGAGGAGCCAAGGTAAAGTAAAATTCAAGGTTCAAGTGTTTCAGGTTGGTGATAAAAAAAATGTAAAATTACTTTTTGCAAGTCTATCATATATGATTATAGACCACCTTAACATTGTCAGTAGTCACACTATTGTTTTGAAAGATTATCAAGCAAGGTAAACCAGTGCTACTTTTATGACAGGTTTGGTTGGTCTTATGTGATGATCAAGGCTTACTTTGGGACTTCAATTCAATAAGCTGTATTGATGATCTTTTGCCTAATTGGACAATTTTTTGCCCGTCTGTGAAACAAGCTGGGGTGAGGAGCTCAAGAATTTGCTAATCAGTTTACATCCCATATGATCCTATTGTTGTCATGGAATTGTTTTGTCACATGATTGATTTGGGTGTGGCTAACTTGGCTGAGGACCTTGAACTTCCATACCTGAGACCAATCAAAATGAAGAAATGGGATTTTGCGGAGGAAGCATCAGCAACAGCTGAGCACCATCTTGTGTTCTAACCTTGAAGAGGCTCGTGGGCTAACTGGAGTGTCCTGAGGAAGTTTTGATGCTTGTGAAGATCCAAATCACTTGATCTGGTCTCAACATCACATACCTGAATGATAGTAAATGTAGTTTTTCAAATTTAATATGCTTTCTGTATGCTCATTACGTTCTACCTCTCTGTCAATGAAATACGTAGCCACTGATATTTTTGTTTGTTACCCTGATGCAGCGTTGTTTGATGCAGTTGCATTCTAATGATATCACTCCTCAACTCAATGAGGCTCTGGAGAGGGAGGTATGCACTAATAGGCTCCTCCATTTCTATCAGTTTATTTGTGTGATAATTTCCTTTGAATGTTGTCAAATAGGTTTCTGATTTGATAAGCTCAATTCTCATGTGTGCGGCATTGAATTCGTAAAGTTAAAATTGACCTCCTCGCAAATTATCCCGTATTGGTGATTTTGCTGATTGGATATTGCCAATAACCAAGTAACAAATACGTCTTTCGATTCCGTAGTTTAGGCACTTCACCTTTTCAAGATAATTTTATTAACATCAATTCTGTTCCTAAACACAAACAAGGAAAGTGTTGCTAATTGCTTACTTCTCCCAAGTCAGTTGTTTTCTTTTTCATCGGCCAGCTAATGAAGTCTTTGTTCATTTTGGTCCAACTACGATTGGCGTAAATGATGTTTAGGCATTTGTACCTTATCTTTCATGGCGTAAATTTTGATGCTATGATGTCAATTTTTTTCATTTACTGATAATTAGTCAGTGCTATTCTTCTTGTGTAGATTCAAGCTGTATTTTTGTAACTCAGAGATAGTCCCCAAACACCACAGGATGGAGATACGGGCAAGAATGAGCCATGTCATTGTGGAAAGGCATTCCAAAGTTCCTTGCTATTGGCTTTTATCATGTGCTCCGTGTTGTTAATACTCTTCAAAGGATTCTTGATATAAAGCGACCTCTTCTCATGTGGTGTTTTAGTCCTTTGCAAGCTTTGGCATCGTGCCATTC